AGTGATGTCAAACATTAAACTTCCTGTCCGACGTGCTGGACAATAAGCGATGTCAAACATTAAATTTCCTGTCTGACGTGTTGGACAGGAAGTGATGTCAAATATTAAATTTCCTGTCTGAAGTCTGAACGACGTGTTGGACATGAGCAGGAAGACTTGTTGAAGTTGTTGTTGAAGTTGTTGTTGGTGACATGATGCAGTTTGTTTTATTGCTGACTGTCTGAACTCCTCAGGAAGCTCCGCCCATACGCTTCTTCTTCTCTGGTGTTAATGGGGACAACACTTGATGGTGACAGGAAGTGGGATCCAGGAGACGGCTGAGGACGACAGTCTGACGGCCGTCACAGACTCCACGTTACCAAAAAACCTGTTGACCATCGGACCCTGAGAGGTTTTCTACTTTCATCCACAGGAATGACAAAGTCATCTCAAAGAAAAGATCCTCATAGTGACTTTAAAAGTTCTGAGATCTTCTTCCTCAACTGGTCTGGGCCTTAAAACCAGGAGGAAAGGGCTCATTCACTAGCGTTAGCTTTAGCGTTCCACTGTCGGCTTCAGGTGAGGATTCAAACCATATTTGTTTAGAAAGGTAAGAAGTTCGACTTTAGTTTCACACCATTAAATCAACTTCACATGATCATTCATATTTATACCAGAATGATTTTACGTCATCACCACCGTTAACTTTGAAAAGTAAAAAAATTCTGACTTTATATCGAGTGTTCACAAAGTGTGCAGGAATATGACATAAAGAAACTAAAACATGATAACTATTAAACATCTCGTGTTCCAACAGGCTAGCTGTATTAGCTTCATTAGCTTGTTAGCAATGGTGCTAGCTGGGCTCCCCACGTTGGTCGTAGCAGTTTGTTGTGACGTGGCGTCTGAAACTGAACAGTTCATCAGAATCCTGTTCGGGTTACAATCAGGTTCTGTTTCTATGACGACAGCCATCAACACTCCGAACAACACCAGGACCACCACAGACTCTGCCTCTCTGATGACATCACAGCACTCCTGATCCAACATGGCGTCCAGGTGGAGTCTTATAAAAAACGTTATAACGTGATGACTTCAGGTAACGTTTTATAAAAAAGGACATCACTACGAAAAAATGCATCAGCCGGTTTCAGATCTGCAGCGCTTCAATATAAAGTGCTTCGTTACATTGTTACGTTTTTACAGTTTATATTAAAATATTTTTTCCCTGGAGTGAAACCATAGTAAACATGTTACACGTTGGTAAAAATAAACATTTGGAATGTCTCTGTTCTTTTTAAGAAGTCCCATTGGCTGATTTTGGTCAAGCTGAACTCGTCCCCGGAGCCTGAAACAGGAAATGAGGCCACATGGTTAAAACGGACCCGGTTCTTCATGAACATCAAACAGACAGGATGGAGGCGAGAGAGTGAAGCATCATGGGTAGTTAGGTGGTGAAACCAGGATGTTAGAAACACTGAGGTCATGAGTCCACCTCACAACCAAACAGTATATATACATAAATTT